CCAAAACGACAATTTTGTCGTTTTGTATTTTCTTTGTAAATTTTCAACCCGTTTTCAAAAACGCGTTTTCGAAAATAGAAAAAAGAACGCGTTTTCACTGTTTTGAAAATTCGAAAACAAAAAACGGGTTGAAAATGGCAAAGAGAACTTGCCCTTAAGGATTGAAGAATAATGCTACTTGAACAGGGCCACGTAGGGCCCAGTTCAAGTAGCACGGCCCATGATTGAAATGCCAAATTAGGATCCAATAAACTAACACAAATAAAACATCATTTCATGTAAATATTAAAAATCGTCAGATTTGTTTCTACATTTTTGTAACGGTCATTGATTTTAATTTATCGAATTTTTTAACAAGTAGTCAACTCCAATAGAGGATGGACTCCTGAAAAATCGAAGGTTCAACCATCACATATTTTTATTTATTTATTTTTTGCATCCCACTCTTATCTCTATATTTTATAAATTTGCACTCGATGGTTTCTTCGAAGAAGTTTATTGGAAAAGCGAATATTTTTTATTTGCCCTAATATTTTAACTTAAGCAAAAAATAGTGACAAATACAAAATTTCGACAAAATATTTACCTCGATTTCACAGCAATCAAATAGAATATTTGAACGCAAGCATTAAAAATGAAATAGGCTAATTGATTAAAAGTTAAATGATAAAACTAATATAAAAAAATGAATTAAGAACCATAAATTTTAGATCTAAGATACCACATTGTCGTGCAAATGTGAAGTTTTAGGAATAATAAAAATGTAAATTTAATAAAATATATAATTAAAATTAATTATTGACTTTGACATAAAAATTTTAGCAATTTTTGAGTTTTGAGAAGTTTTCCATTTCCTAAAGGGAAAATTGCAGGCACGGTACATTTCATTTTTTTTTTGTAGACTTTACTCAAATCTTTGATTTGTACCACAACGGTACCAAACCTTTCAAAATATAGCAGTTGGAGTCCAAATGTTGACCGTTAGTTGACAAGAATAGTAGATTTGACCAAATTTTAAAATGGTAAAATTGTAACTTTCCTTTTTTCATATAAAAAAGTACTAAAATAAAATAATTAAATCAAAAACCAAAAAACCCTATTATCTTCTCCCACCATCCCACCCCACCTCACCTCCACCCAACCTAAAATCAAAACTGTCGGCACCACCACCAGCACACTGTCGGCACCACGACTGCCGTCACCTCCTCCCACCACCACAACCTCAGCTGCAATTTTCCCTAAATTATATACCATGAATTATAAATGAATGGAAAAATTTGAAAGAGGAAAACCATGGTAGGTGTTGGATACATCTGCTTGTACTTCTCTTTGCATCACACTGTTTTGCGATTCTCTTCAACAAATATGAAGAACTCAATATTTGCAGGCAATCCCATCTGGGCCTCAATCAATTCCTTCAAGTTCAAATAATTTTTTTGCAAACTTCTCGGGAGTGAAACTAAAGCAAATAAAGGGATCTCAACCAACAAGAAAATGGAAGACTATAACATAGCAATGAAGAGAAAGATGACGAACCCATATGAGTATCATCACGATCTCAGTTAGTATCATTTAACAATTTTGATGAACATTTTTCGAATAGCCAAGGCTTGTTCATCAGGAAACAATTGCGGCAACTCATCATACAAGCAATTCGCTCCGCCATCTACACACACATGAAGTCTTGCTGTTCTACACAGAGTTATTAAACTGTGTTTTTACCACTGCAGCATAAATGCTTAACAAAAGTAGAACTAACTTAAGAAAAAAGAAAAAAACGATTATACCGAATGATAATTTATCGTGGTTCCAGAGCACGGGAGTGAATCGGGGGATGCGTTGGTTTGGTATTACCAGTGTGTAAAATTGAGAAAGGCCATTGTCGGCAGGAAAATCAGGAAGGAGGAACCTTGAGGAATGAATCATCAAATCCATCTAAAAAATTCAATTCAAAGAGAGTGAGATTTTGTGGAATCAAGCAACTATGAAAACATAAAGGGAACGATTTCAAACTTTTTACTGTTATGCGGACTTGATGAGGTAACGACAGTCGTGGTGGTGGGAGGAGGAGGCGGTGGTGGTGCCGACAATGTGCCGGTGGTAGTGCCGACAGTTTTGGTTCTGGGTTGGGTGGGGTGATGTGAGGTGAGGTGGGGAGGGATGGTTGGAGAAGATAATATGATTTTTTGGTTTTTGATTTAATTATTTTATTTTAGTTCTTTTTTATATGAAAGGAAAGTTACCGTTTTACCCTTTTAAAATTTGGTCAAATCTACTATTCTTGGTCAACTAACGGTCAAATCCATCCATTGGGACTCCAGTTGCTACATTTTGAAAGGTTTGATATCGTAGATGGTACAAATTAAAGATTTGATCAAAGTCTACAAAAGAGTAAAAAGTTGGGTGCAATTTTCCCCTTCCTAAATTATCTTGTCAACGTTTGGCCAAGCCAAACAGTTGAGACATTTCTTTTTGGAAAATGAAATAATAATAATGGAAATATGCTCTGAATAATATTCTAAAATCTCACTTTCCTGAATGGGAAGAAGAAAATAGCGGCCTCCCTCTGCGATAATAATCTAGGGTTTATTCTATTTCTCTGTCTACATCTGTGACAAATAATCAGGTATCTTATTACATTTACACAATTGTACTTATTACCGTTGATTTCGCACTCGTTTGATTGTTGTTAATGATTTTATTCGAACTCGATTTGATTGTTGTGCATGATTTAATTTCAACCTCGATCTAAGATCCCGTTCAGCCTGGCAGCTATTCTATAGTTGTAGCTTCTTATAATTTATTTTTATTTCCGAATTTGTTGTTCCTTGGGCAACAGCTACAGTAGTTTTCTCTACGATATCTCGCTTGAGTTTTAGTGTGGTTGTTTATGGTTATTCTCCTTGCCTTTAGAACGGGCTAATTTAATGTTTTCTTTTCATATTCTATATTATGCTAATAAGTCGGTATACAACTATAAATTAAATATCTGGCATGGTTTTATTTAACAGTATATTTATTGGCCTACTTTTGTTTGGCTTGGCTTTTTAGGAAACAGAACCGGAGTTGATAGAGCTTAATTTTGGTTGATAACTGCAGTTTTACAGATTTGGGGTAATTTATCAGATTTGGTGAGTGCCAATGGCATGGTTTAGAGCTGGTTCCAGTGTGGCAAAGTTGGCTATTAGGCGAACTCTTTCGCAAAGCAGTTCGTATGTGACGAGAACAAGGGTCACTCGTGCTCAAAACCAACAGTTTCATACTACAGTTTTTAAGTCAAAGGCACAATCTGCACCTGTTCCACATCCCGTTCCACTCTCCAGGTTGACTGATAGCTTTTTAGATGGGACAAGCAGTGTTTATCTTGAGGAGCTCCAGAGGGCTTGGGAGAAAGATCCTAATAGCGTGGATGAATCTTGGGACAATTTCTTTAGGAATTTTGTTGGCCAGGCCACCACCTCGCCTGGAATTTCTGGCCAAACGATCCAAGAGAGCATGCGGCTGTTGTTGCTTGTGAGAGCTTACCAGGTTTATGGTCACATGAAAGCCAAGTTGGACCCATTAGGTTTGGAACTGCGGCCTATTCCCGATGATCTAGACCCAGCCCTTTATGGGTTTGCAGAAGCTGATCTCGATAGAGAATTTTTTGTTGGTGTTTGGAGAATATCTGGATTTTTGTCTGAGAATCGTCCTGTGCAAACCTTGAGAGCGATTTTGACTAGGTTAGAACAGGCTTATTGTGGAAGTATTGGTTATGAGTACATGCATATTGCTGATCGTGAAAAGTGTAATTGGCTAAGAGAAAAGATTGAGACTCCGACACCAACACAATACAATCGTCAGCGTCGTGAGGTTATCCTTGACAGGCTTATATGGAGCACCCAGTTTGAGAACTTCTTGGCAACAAAATGGACTGCAGCAAAGAGGTTTGGGCTAGAAGGTTGTGAGACATTGATTCCTGGCATGAAGGAGATGTTTGATAGATCAGCAGATCTTGGGGTGGAGAGCATTGTCATCGGAATGTCACATAGAGGCAGACTAAATGTTCTGGGTAACGTCGTTCGGAAACCACTGCGACAGATCTTTAGTGAATTTAGCGGTGGTACAAAACCTGTGGATGAGGTTGGCCTCTACACCGGAACTGGAGATGTAAAATATCATTTGGGAACATCTTATGACAGGCCAACAAGGGGGGGGAAGAGAATTCACTTATCTTTGGTTGCAAATCCAAGTCACTTGGAAGCTGTGGACCCTGTCGTGGTTGGGAAAACTAGAGCCAAACAATACTACTCCAATGATGTGGACAGAACGAAGAATATGGGTATTTTAATTCATGGAGATGGTAGTTTTGCTGGACAAGGTGTTGTCTATGAGACCTTGCATCTTAGTGCTCTTCCAAATTACACTACTGGTGGGACCATTCACATTGTGGTAAACAATCAAGTGGCATTCACTACTGACCCAAGATCGGGAAGATCCTCACAGTATTGTACAGATGTTGCCAAAGCTCTGAGTGCTCCAATCTTCCATGTCAATGGTGATGATGTAGAGGCAGTTGTTCACGCCTGTGAACTTGCAGCAGAGTGGCGTCAGACTTTCCATACTGATGTTGTAGTAGATATTGTATGCTATCGTCGATTTGGGCACAATGAGATTGACGAGCCATCCTTCACCCAGCCTAAAATGTACAAGGTTAGTAATGTTTATTTTCCTTTTTGACTTGATAAAATCATCAGTTTTAAGGGACATTGGCTGTCATTGTTAGCTTAATTGGAACTCTCTCTGCCCAAAATTAAGTTTCTTTCTCACTGATGCTAGATATTTAAGAGGATCATTCCTTTCACTGGTCTTTAGAAGTCTCACTTCACCTCTGGGCGGAAATTAACTTTCTTTCTCACTGATACTAGTTATTTGATAGTGCAATTTCTTTTGCCTGTCTTTAGAAGTCTAACTGGGTGGAAATTAACTTTCTTTCTCGTTGGTGCTATATATTTAAAACTATCTTTCCTTTAACTGATCTGTAGAAGTTTCTTTCTGCCTCTGGATGGATTTTGTAGGTCATCCGAAATCATCCATCAGCACTTGAGATCTACCAAAAGAAACTGTTAGAATCTGGCCACGTTTCGAAAGAAGACGTTGATAAGATAAACAGCAAGGTCCTATCAATTCTCAATGAAGAATTTCTGGCCAGCAAAGATTATGTCCCTCAAAGAAGGGACTGGCTTTCAGCTTACTGGATGGGTTTCAAGTCTCCTGAGCAACTTTCACGTATTCGTAACACTGGGTAATATTATGTTCTTCAACCTGTTTTATATTATCTTTTTTGAGTCAATGAGTTTCGGGGCTGTAACTTTTCTATTCTGCAGTGTCAAACCAGAGATCTTGAAGAATGTTGGAAAGGCTATTACAACCTTACCTGAAAATTTTAAACCTCATAGAGCAGTAAAGAGGATTTTTGACGATCGCTTGAAGATGATAGAGACAGGGGAGGGTATTGACTGGGCAGTGGGAGAAGCGCTTGCTTTTGCAACATTGCTTGTAGAGGGGAATCACGTGAGGGTGAGCGGGCAGGATGTAGAGCGAGGCACTTTCAGTCATAGACATGCTGTTCTACATGACCAGGAAACAGGGGACCAGTACTGTCCCTTGGATCATGTTATGATGAACCAAAATGAAGAGATGTTTACTGTAAGCAACAGGTAAGTTGTGGTACCATATCTGCTTTCTATATAAATAATTTTGCCTTATTGCTTTCCTTTTATGTCCTGGCAGACCTTTTTGTGTCAACTTGACAAGTTTTGTGGAATATGTTTTATGTTGGTAATATAAGCTTGGAAAGTTGGAAAACCTTTCTAATCATGATTGAATTTACTTTGAATTTCAATATTGTCACATGTTTAATATACATTATCATGAAATTTCACTTTGAAAAATTGTCGAGATGGCAGTAAGAAAAGTCAAACAGGACATTCTTTTTGAAATGGAGGAAATTTTGATTAAATTGCATTGTTTCTGGAATTATTAATTTTTTGGATATGCATACAACTATCCTTTCTTCAGCATAACAAGTTTTGTGGTGGAGACAACCAGTCAACAGGTACCAGTATTGATGCTTCATGTTATGAATATCCTGTCTGTTTAACTTTTCAATACTTCGTGGATGGATCTATGTTTGCACTTTGATTTTAACTTCATCTCGGATAATGAGAAACCATTAATGGTACTCATTTCAGAAACAGTAAGGCTTTTTAGAACTATTGAAGTCTGCCTGGTTTGAGATGGATAATTTCATTGAACACTGGCAGTAATCGGACTTCTACAGGAGTGTATTATGGATAGATATATCTATTTACCTGATTTACATGCTGATGCTTTCAGTCCATTGGTGCATCTAGGATTTTGCATTATAATATCTACGAAGTTATGACCTCATGAGATGCATTTTTACCCTAGCTCAACTTACTGAATTGAAACAAAAACCAGTTATTAACTATAAACAAATTTTTTTCAAATGTAGTTCATAGAAATCCTTTCATGCTAAAGAATTGTTTGACATTGTGCTTTTTTATTCCTGAGGTTTTAAGGTCTGATTGCATCATGTTTGAAGTTTTTGTATGCATTACCCATGGTATCTTATTGAGGACTCTGATTTTATTTTTCCCACTATTCATAAAAGAATTGAAAAAAGAAATATTGAAGGTCGCATTAATTTGATTTGAAGTAAATGGTGACCTCGTGTTAGCTGCTTTTTATAAATCCTATTATTCAATGGAGGATGTGATTGATTATAGGATTTGTTAATTGTTTTATCTCTTGTAATACATTGGAAAGGATGCTACCTAACGCATGAAATTTCAACTTCAACACTATTTTCAGGATGGTTGTCAAGATTTTTAGCATAACCAGATGAAATGTGCTACTTATTTTTGCCAAATGATTATATTTTTTCTTCACACCGTTATTAGTTTTTTGTGTGCCATTATTCCGGTAGAGCCATTCGCCTTATGTTCTGGAAGAGTGACTATATTTGTTCCTCCTATGTGACACAGGATTGATCAAGTGCTTTGTACTCACTACCCTGCACTCCATAATATTCTTACTTTCTGAAATTAAATCAATCTTTCTGCTCTTTAGTTATCTGATTGAAAGCAGGTCCTACCCTGATATATTTACTATTACCTTGACACTGCCTAGCATTTGAGTTCCTTCACATGTAATTCAAACTCTTAGCAAATTTTGTGTAGATTCTGGGTAATTTGTTTAATGTTTTCATTTTCGCCTGCCAGCTCTCTTTCAGAGTTTGGAGTTTTGGGATTTGAATTAGGTTATTCCATGGAAAACCCCAATTCTCTGGTATTGTGGGAAGCCCAATTTGGTGATTTTGCCAATGGTGCTCAGGTGATATTTGATCAATTTCTCAGTAGTGGGGAGTCAAAATGGTTGCGACAGACTGGATTAGTTGTTCTTCTACCTCATGGTTATGACGGCCAAGGCCCTGAACACTCGAGTGCACGTTTGGAACGTTTCCTCCAGGTGTTACCCTTTTTCTTTTTGGTTATGAAACACTTACATTTGTCCCCATTTTTTTGTTTTCTCTGGGTTTTAATTGTTTACTTTTGGACTACTTATACATTTATTTGAAGTATACACATCCTGATCATCATATTTTCAGCCACATTGCAAGTTTGTTGTTTCTGACTTTACTTCAATTGGTTGCTTGTCCAAGGAATTGAATTATAACCCATCAAATTATAAATTTTGATTTCAGATGAGTGATGACAATCAATATATTATCCCTGAGATGGATCCTACCCTTAGGACACAAATACAGGAGTGCAATTGGCAGGTGGTGAATGTCACAACTCCTGCAAATTATTTCCATGTTTTGCGGCGTCAAGTAAGTAGAACTAACTGAGCAAATATTTGTGCTCTTATATAGGTTTTCTTGATTTTCTTATCTTTCACATCTTTATGCCCCAGATACACAGGAAATTCCGCAAGCCTATCATTGTGCTGTCACCAAAGAACTTGCTTCGTCAAAAGGACTGCAAGTCTAATTTATCCGAGTTTGACGATGTTCAAGGCCATCCAGGATTTGACAAACAAGGGACGAGATTTAAACGCCTGATAAAGGACCAAAATGATCACTCAGATCTTGAAGAGGGAATTAGACGTCTGATTCTTTGCTCAGGAAAGGTGGGAAAAATTAATCTTTCTTTTCCCCGTGTCTATCCTTCCATTTTTTCCCACCAATTTTAATTATTTCTTTTTCCCCTCTTTGGGTACATCACTGTACAAAATCTTATGTACATAGCATTTTTGCTTGCTGTGCAGGTTTATTACGAGCTCAATGAGGAGAGGAAGAAAACCAGTGGAAAGGACATTGCAATTTGTAGGGTAGAGCAGCTTTGCCCCTTCCCTTATGACCTCATCCAGCGGGAACTTAAGCGATATCCAAGTATGTCTTTTAAATTGACAAATATATTACACTGTTCAAAGTACTTCAATCCATTTTTTTAATTACTTTAAGCTAATCCATGCTTGTTGGATTTGGGGAATGCTATTAAAATCATCTCAACTAAGTTTTTATTGAGGCACAAGAAAGATGGATTCAAGATGAATGAAATTGCACATCCAAAGACAGTTTTTCTGGCCACCAGGACTAAATTGACTCGCGTTGCCAACTCATTTTGGTTTTATTTTTTTGTGATTCTTTCAGATGCAGAGGTTGTTTGGTGTCAGGAAGAGCCAATGAACATGGGAGCTTACAATTACATTGCGCCTCGTCTATGTACTGCTATGAAAGCACTAGGAAGGGGTACTATGGATGACATCAAGTATGTTGGCCGTGCTCCATCCGCTGCCACAGCTACTGGTTTCTACCAGGTTCATGTCAAAGAGCATACTGAACTAGTTCAGAAAGCCGTACAGCCTGATCCAATTAAATCTCCATAAACTTTCAATGTCCAACAAATGAATTTCGAAGAGAAATTTCATGTCAATTTTTTTAAGCACTTTGATTTCTGTTGGTTCTTTCGAAAGGTATTTCAAGAGATGCTGTTTTGATTGCGACATCGTTTTTCACGTAAAGTGAATAATGCTTCAGAATTCCTTGAGTTTGTTACTAAATTTATGAATAAAATTAACTGGATTGAAAATGAACATTGAGATAGTAGTTTTGCTTTAAAATACGAGTTCAATCTCTAATGTGAGATGGCTTTAACAGTTCATGGCTGGGCATACTGCTGTGTTTGCTGCCTTTTCTTTTTTTTTTTGGCTCGGAGGATTTTACTTTTCATCAAAACTACCTGTTATTAATCGAATTTCTTGTCAACTGTGTAAAATACTCGTCTGGATATACAGATTTATGTGCCTTGATGTGAATGAACGATTCAAGTCACAACACATTCCTTTGTTGTGTGCAAATTTTGTATGCTTCAGTTTGTACGCTTCTGATCTCCTGCCACCAGGGTAAAAACTTTTCACAGCTGAGGTGACAAGTTGACCTTACTGTTCTTTGAAAAATAAAGAACCATAAGTAAGGTTCGCTTATCACATCAACAATGATAAGTTTTTATCCTGCCCATTGAGGATAGGAGATCAATTTGTATACCAAAAATATCTGAATAAGATAGAAGATATTATCTATATTGATTGATTGTTGAAGGAAAATTATTCGCTATAATGTTCAATACCAATAAATGGGTGACCTTTCAAGCACTTAAAACTACCCAAAGAATTTTAATGTATGTAATTATTTTTGTTGATCAAAATTGGAAATAAGTTACTTATTTAAAACGAATATGTCAAAATAAGTTAAAAAAAAAAAAAAAAAGAGATTCCCTTCAAGGTACATGTACAGTATCTTCAAACAAATGTTCGAATATAAGTAAATTTTACTTGATTTGCTCCATGCTTGATTGAAGTCTTTAGAGCTTAAAATTGACATTCACCAGTTATCTCAGACTCAAGAATATACAAGCTCCCACGGGCAAGCGTAATAGTAAGTATGAGTGTTCTTTTCGAAGTATCGGAGATTCGAATTCTTGCGGCAACTGGAAGGCGTCCTGTGGAGAAAAATTCACAGTGCGCTAGTCACCCCTCGGAATCACGTCCGCACAAGTGGTTCACAGGAAGGAGAACCGCTTCCCAAAATTCTAACCCAAGTGTATATAAGTTGTGACCATATTCGATTTACCCGAGTGGCAAATCATGATGGAAGGTCGTTACTCCCCAGGTTTAGTCGAGCGATGCTAGATAACCGAATAAAAAAAAATATAAAAATGAATATACTGTTATAAAGGAGAGAAAGAGAAGAGAGAATAAAACTCATTTAACTTGTGTATTTTACTGAGAATCAAGACCAATATTTTTAGGGTCTAAAATAAGTTACAATTGAAATGAAATGAACTTTTTGAACTAGATAAGACTTATCTATATATTATGATAATACTAAATAATCATCAATAATCATCTCATTATTTTACAACACTTTCCATTTGATGATTATTTGTACAATAACTGCTTCGTTAAAATCTTGTTTGATAAAAATTCACTGGGACAAAAAATCAAACGAAGGAAAAAGAGTACAATTATTTTGGAGTATTAAATATAAATGCTGTTTTATTAAAACTTTGCTAGGAAAACCCAGTAGGATAAAACCTAAGCAAAGGAAAAAGAATACAGCTACTCCCCCTGATGTTGATCACTGAAAATCTTTGAGTCGACGAATTCCAATCTTGTAAACCAATTTCTTTAATGTAGACATTGCAGTGCTTTTGTAAATAAATCAGTCACATTGTCACTTGAATGAATTTGTTGAATATTTATATCGCCATTTTTCTAAAACTCGTGTATATGAAAGAATTTTGGAAAAATATGCTTCGACCTCTCACCTTTGTTATAACCTCATTTGAGTTGTGCAATACACGCAACATTATCTTCATACAAAATTGTTGGATTATTTTTTGTTGAAATTAATCTGCATGATGTTTGGATATGATGGGTCATGTTCCTCAACCATACACATTCTTGGCCCGCTTCTTGGATTACAATAATTTCAAAATTATTTGAGGGTGTTGCTGTCAATGATTGCTTCACAGATCTCCATGATATAGTTGTTCCTCCATGTGTAAACACGTATCCTGTTTTTGATTTAGCTTTATGTGGGTCAGAGAGATAATTTGTACTGCATATCCCACTAAAGCAGATCCTGACTTTTGAGAATAAAATAATCCTAAATCAATAGTACCATTTAGGTAACGAAAAATATGTTTAACACCATTCTAATATCTTTGTGTTGATATATAGCTATATCTTGTAAGGAGATTTACAGAAAAAGCTATGTCGGATCGAATACAATTTGTAAGATAAGTTAATGCTCCAATTGCACTAAAATATGGTACTTCAGGACCAAGAATATTTTCTCTATCTTCAAGTGGACGAAAATAATCATTTTTTACATCAAGTGATCGAATAACCATAGGTGATGTCAATAAATGTGCATTATCCATATAAAATCGTTTTAAGACTTTTTCTGTATATGTAGATTGATGAATAAATAATCCTTTTGAGAAATGTTCAATTTGCAACCCGAGACAGAATTTGATTTTTCCCAACTCTTTCATCTCAAATTCATTTTTCAAATAATCTACAGTTTTGTTGAGCTCTTCAGAAATTTCAATTAAATTTAAGTCATCAACATAAACTGTCACAAGTGTAAATCCAATATTTATTTTCTTTATGAAAACACATGAGCATACATCGTTATTTTT